CCTCCGGACGATGTCGACCTTCGGGTTTCGTGGAGAAGCTCTGGCGAGCATCACCCACATCGCCAAGGTGACGAAAGAGCCACACGCGTTAGTCCTCGTAGGTGACATGACGTAAGATACCACCCCCCTGGACCGATTCTTCAACGCTCGATCTCCAAAGCGAGGGGGATGTATAATCCAAAGGATGCGTATCCGGAAAGCCCTCGACGAGGCGGCTCCAACGCCGCCATTTTCGGCACCGCCGCTATTCTGCTGTGGAGAAATCTAGCTTTGAAGATTCGGTCTGGGTTGTGTGATATATGTTGTCACATGGCCGGGTAAGCCCGATCGCAGTATGTCCATTGACCCGACCGCCGGGAGCGAGGTCCCCTTTCTACCCCTCCCTCTCCCTCTGGAACGGAGGGTCTACAGGGGTTCAAGGAGAAGATATCTGTTGCTTGTGCCGAGAGAGAAGAACAGAATATAAGGAAAGAATCCAAGGATAAGGAGGGTCTAGAAGTGTACGAAATGTTGAAGGAAGGAATAGGGTTCAAGGACTACCTACATGGACCAATGGATGCAGGAACAAAGCTTAAGGTCAAATTCAGGACCGGAGACATAAGCCTTCGAGATCGTCGGCGAAGACATAGGACGGTAGACGACGAAGACGACGAGTTCAAATGTGATTGCGGCTTCGAATGCGAAGACCGTGTTCATGTAGTGGCGGAATGTCCGTTGTACAAGAAGGAGAGGGAAGTGTACATGACTGAGCTGGGAATAATAGAAGGGACGTATGGGGAGATGTTTGAGGCATGGAATAGAGAGGGAAGGACGGTAACTGTACTGGGGCATAGGAGGTGGGTTGAAAAGGCGGGAAGTCGTACGCCTCTTTGTTGATGGTCACAGCGAAGTCTCACGGTCTCGAAAGTGGGGATCACGGAGCAGAATGATTTGTGAGTGTGCCTTTCACAAAATCAAACAATGACTACCCGTTCGAGTTTTTGGACAACCGGTGTGTTATTTTTTGTGTCAGTGCGGTTGGTCGTTCCGGCGGTGGATGTGCTGGGAGTGACCTTGATGGTGGAGGCCTTGATTGCTTCTCGTGGTTTGACGTTGGTACTCGTGTGTGTCGTTTGCAACGCATGATGTTCTGTGCTTCTGCTATCGGTTCTCTCGCTAAGTTCTTCGTTTTTTGCCTNCAACCGGTGTGTTTTTTTTTGTGTCAGTGTGGTTGGTCGTTCCGGCGGTGGATGTGCTGGGAGTGACCTTGATGGTGGAAGCCTTGATTGCTTCTCGTGGTTTGACGTTGGTACTCGTGTGTGTCGTTTGCAACGCATGGTGTTCTGTGCTTCTGCTATCGGTTCTCTCTCCAAATTCTTCGTTTTTTGCCTAGGTTCAAACGTCTGACACAAAACTCCGGGTTTATGTGCTTGCGCCGGCTGCTGTATAATCGAATGATATGATTTTTTTCTGCCAGGCGGAAGACCTTTTCTACAATATGGACACGAGGAGGCGAGCGTTCAAGAGCCCCGGCGAGCAATACAAGGGGATCCTCGATGTCGTTACCCGCTACGCCGTCCACTTCGGCGACAGGGGTGTATCCTTCACCTGCAAGAAGGTGCCATACGCTTACATGTCCCGACGTTGNGGTTTATGTGCTTGCGCCGGCTGCTGTATAATCGAACGATATTGTTTTTTGCTGCCAGGCGGAAGACCTTTTCTACAATATGGACACGAGGAGGCGAGCGTTCAAGAGCCCCGGCGAGCAATACAAGGGGATCCTCGATGTCGTTACCCGCTACGCCGTCCACTTCGGCGACAGGGGTGTATCCTTCACGTGCAAGAAGGTGCCATACGCTTACATCCCCCGACGTTGTAAGGCGTGGCGTGTGTGTTTCACCTATCAGCGTGGCCAGCCACACCCAACGTAGCTCACCTCCCGACCTTGTAAGTGTTCATCCACCCAACACGACGTAGCCAAGCAAGAGCGCCACAGCAGTCCCCGCCCAAGCACGCTGCCCAAGCCCAGCCGAAGTTCCGACAGCTTCCTTCCCCCCCCTTCTTTTTTCTACCTTGTGCTCCACGCGCTCGCACACACATACATCGGGGGAGGGCGTTATCCACGTACCAGCACGGTCAGTCCGGCCCCGACCTACACACGCCTCCGAGGTCCAGCTGCCTGGCGAACATCCAGGTGGCGTTCGGGCCGGCGCTGTCGCGGGAGCTCGTGGAGTTGGAGTGCTCCCAGGCCGAGGAATTGCTTGACCAGGGGGTGGACGGAGGCGGTGAGCAGACAAGAAAATATTTTTCGCGGCGGGAGACGGCTGCTGCTCCTCCTCCTGCTGCTCCTGCTGTGAAAATGTTTTGCGCCTGTTGCCGTCAGTGGTCGGATAATTCAAACGTTGCGGGCGATTGCCGCATGCGGTTCACAAGAGACGCAGGCGCCATCGCCGATGTTTGGCGCTTCACTCGTCTTTGGGGTTGAACATGGTATTCATGTTGTGCTTGTATGTCGATCTGGTTTATGAAAGACGTTCAGGATCAATGAAAGTTGAGTTCCACTCCATTGGGCACCACGCCGTGTTGGGTGTTTTCAATGCCCAGGAAAGAAGGCGGGTTCTACAAGGTGCTTCTCTCCGACAACTTTGTGTCTCGCCCGTTGTTGCCGTGCCCCTTGCGTCCCTTGTGTGCTNCGCGTTTCATTCTTGTATCATTCTGTTTTATTCGCCCCCTCGCCCATCGGCGTTTGCCATGGANTTCACTCGTCTTTGGGGTTGAACATGGTATTCATGTTGTGCTTGTATGTCGATCTGGTTTATGAAAGACGTTCAGGATCAATGAAAGTTGAGTTCCACTCCATTGGGCACCACGCCGTGTTGGGTGTTTTCAATGCCCAGGAAAGAAGGCGGGTTCTACAAGGTGCTTCTCTCCGACAACTTTGTGTCTCGCCCGTTGTTGCCGTGCCCCTTGCGTCCCTTGTGTGCTGAAGTGCCGCCCTCGAAGTTTGCGTTCAAGGCGAAAGGGCTCGTGTCGGGGGCTGAGTACAGCGCCAAGGTGACGGTTTGGTTTCGTCGTTTAACGTCCGGTTTTCGCATGGAGGATGCCGCGTATAATCCTTGTTGTTGTTGTTGTTGTTGTTGTTGTTGTTGTTGTTGTTGTTGTTGTTATGGGTGTTGGTGGTGTTGGGGTTGTTGTCGGCGGCCGCGTTTCATTCTTGTATCATTCTGTTTTATTCGCCCCCTCGCCCATCGGCGTTTGCCATGGAGATTGGGTTTTCGCCGCTTGGCAACGACGTTGTAAAACAAGCCAATTCACTTTGTGGGCTCGGCAACCAGTTACCGTTGTTTTTGTTGCCTCTTTTTTTTTTTTTGGCGGTAACCATAATGGTGGTCGAGTAGATCATGTTGTGTGGGGTGGCCTCACTCCGCGCACGGGGGATGATCGCACCACGTTGTGTTAAAATGGTCAAGCACCCTCGAGGCAGTTACACAGTGCTAACAACTGTCTCTGGAAGGTGAATGCACCAGAAAACATATTAAGTCATACGCAGCTGTCATCCGTACGCAAGGGAGTAAGCACAAGATGCCGAAAACCCTTAGCAGGATGCAGCGCACCCTTCATGCGACTCGCCGAATATCTCACGGCGCTTCGCGCTTGGTGATGTGAGAGCCTGGTCCGGTGAGAACCCGGCGTGCTCCGTCCCGGCT